ACTAAAGCTGATATATGACAAAAGTTACTTCATTGTAAAATCTATGTATTTTACAGATCTTCTGGCCCTATAAACCTGGTTGTAAATACTCGTAGTTTAAGTGACTGTGTGTAGTTTAGGCATGTTAATATAAATATATTATAGTAAAATATATTTAAAAAATCCTTTAGGAAACTTTTGCTCTAGGTCACAAGAAGCATACCTATAGACAGAAAGAATAACACATAGCATAAAGAAGCAATAAAATTTTAAATTGTGTATAAAGATAAAAACATCATTTATGGATAATGGATAGGTATATCACTTTCATAAATAAGTTTAATAAATAAAATTCTCTCTTTAAGAAATGAGGATTATGTTCAGCCTTTGGCAAAACTACTAAGAAAAGTTTTTCTTTTAAAGTTCCTGTGCTCATAACCAGCTTGTTAGTTTCCTCTAGCTCCACATAAACTCTCCAAAACCAAGTACACTAAGTCTTAGAAAAAATAAAATCTAAAAGCTAAATCACAAAATGCTCTTATTCTACAAGTCTAGCATTTTTAAAGAAAAAAACAAAAACAATAGTACCCCCAAGAGAATGAATTTCCAATGGTGAATATTTAGGTTCCGTAACATCTAGACCACAAAGTTATTTTTGGGCTATGGAGCCTGGTATTCATTATATTTTCCCTGAACATGATTACTTAGCTATAAATATTGACTAGCTTAATAGAAGGTAATAGTGTATAATTTTTTTTTTCAGGAACAGTTGTGTAGGTTTAAAGTATAAATATATTTTAACTTTGAATGAAAATAAAATATACATTTAAAAATCTACAATTCTTAGAAATAGTACGCAATCTCTTTCCACTATCCCTGAAGATTTCAGGCCTTCTAGATGCAGTTAAATTTGATGGAAGTTGTTAGTTTGAACAAGGGTTAAAGCTGACCCATAGGAAGCAGGGGCTCCCAACTCTGAGGAGAGTAGAGAGGAGCAACACACCAGGGAGTGATGCAGGTGAGGCTTTCCTCGAAATTGGTAAACTTTGGGTACAGGTTGGGATTTTTTTTTTTAGGGTCTCAAGCAAATAAGAGGACACTGAATTTCCTTGTGAATCCATCACCTGAGCTACTTTCATTTTATTCTGCAATTCTATCAAATAATTTAATTACTCTAGTTCATGTATTTATAAGCATTCATGGAGTATGTCCCTCTTTATACCAGCATTTGCGTGACTATCTGGAGGAAATGGGGTCAAGAAGATAAAGAGAACACTGTCCCCATCTGGGAAAAGCTCAAAGATGGGCAATTTTCAGAGAGGGGAGTAGATAACCACCAGATACACAAAACAATTATAACTGTGTGGTTAAGATCTCCACTAAAGGCACAGACAAGGTACTATAAAAACAAAGAACAAGAAAATGAAGAAACAATTAGAAGAAATCAGTTAAGGCTTCATCGCAGAAGTGACATTTAGATTGTAGTAGTAAAAATTTGAACAGCTCCTACAATTTTACGAGGAATCTGTCCAAGGAGAAGAAAAGGCATGTGCAGACATAAGTTGGAAGCAGTCACGGAGGAAGTGTCAGGAAATAGAAGGCCAGCCATAGGCCTCCTCTGTCATGGCCTGTTGTTTATATGTGAATTTTAAGGGATGAAAGCCCCTTGGAAGATTTTTAAAAGGAAAGGTTTATATTTTAGAAAATGAATTTGGAGGCAGGGAGGAAGACATATTTGAGAGAGGCAGAGGTGAATTCAGTCTCTGATTGTTGTTAATAGTCCAAATGAGAGGATAAGGGCACAAAATAATGTCATTAAAAAGAGAGGATAGGGTGGAGGGAGTCAGGAAATAAAGGAATGATGCAACCTGAAAGTGAAAGGTAGAAAAGGGTGAGGGAACAAGGACGCAGCTGAAATTGCTGAAGTCCATTACTTGAGACAGGAAACAAAGAGAGTGGGGAGGGCTTTATTTCCATGGAAGTATTTTTTTTTTTTTACTAATTTTCACGTTTTTTGTTTTTTAAAGAGTTTATTTATTTATACATTCAAAACTGGGGTACAGGCCAGAGGTGCAGGGGTGGTGAGAGGCTTCACCAGAGACAGAGTAGGGAGCAAAGCAGGCAGATTGAGGAAGTACACTGCTGGGGGGAGCAGTGGGCGAGTCAGGAGAGGTCTGCCACGCCATGTTGTCACCTCCCAGAGCAGGCAGGGATTGAACTCATGTTGAAGTGGCTTTAGCCTCTTAGTGCTGTGCTATAACCTACTGCGCCACCAGGGAGGGCCCTTCATGGAAGTATTTTTAACAAGAAAACTATAAAACACAGAAGGTAGTGATTTGATTTTTGAGGAAGTTGGAGAAGACTTTATAGAGAACTGAATTAAACTAGTCTTGCTAGTCTCATGAATATGTTTGGACAAATAATTTATAGAAAGCTTATTTAAAGTAACTGGCATTGATCTGGATATTTCACATAGTATCCAGTTTATTCCTCAACTCTGCCTATGAAGCCAGTATTACAATTGGAGATTTTAAACTGAGGAACTTTTGTTCCCAGGGGTTAAGTAATTTGTAAAATCTCACACATCATAAATAGGAAAGCAGAGACTCAATCACAGGTCTTTCTGACATGACCACAAAGGCTGTCTCTATCCACTGTACTGCACTGAATCTCATAGGATGAGTATGTCTCTTCTAGGGTAGAAGGGCAACGGGCTCCAAGAAAGAGATCACAACTATAAACACAGCCTTGAAAAGGCAGAGGCCTTCTGAAGAATGAGACAGCAGAGTGTGCCATGAAATGATGAGAGAGAGAGGAACTGACTATGCACCATGTACTGTTTTAAAAGGACTGCATGTATTATCTCATCTAACTCTTACAACGTTATGAGATAGCAGTACTACTGTCCAGAAGTTGTTTCCATTTGCAGAGTAGTTAAATAAAATGTCTAAGTTCTTATAGCTATGCATTCTTAATCCACAAGCAATGCTTTTAAACCACTATGCTGTAGTTGAAGATAGATGAGCATATTTATTTTTGCCATAATGAATGTTTTATAATAAAAATACAGTTAAAAATGGGCCACTGAATTTAATAATTAAGAAATTACAGTAATAGGAAAAGTTCAGTACAAGAGTTAATCTCAGGATACAGAATAGCAAAGGAGTAAATGGGTAGTGAAAAATTAGCGGTAGAGACCATAGATAAGATGTTTAAGAAAATTGTGCAGTTTTCTTTTAAGAAAAGAGAAATGTGGACCTTTTTAATTGAAAATTTACAAAGGATTTTCAAAAATACTTGTTAGTAAAAGTAATTCAGATAATAGGGAAAATACTAATACCATCTAACAAATTCTTGTAAGTTCATTTGGAAGGTTATCCTTGAACCCAATAAAATAAATTAACGTCCATGCCCACATTAACTATTATGTGTATACACTGCATAATTGAGGGCAAATAAAAAACAAAAAAGTTTGATAACACTTCATCAGTATTGCTAGAAATCAAAATAAAAGATTTATTATTTCAATTTAACTTTTCAATGACAAAATTATTGCATGAATGTCATGCTGTTAAAAGTTCTGATTTGTCTGTATGAGGTTATATATGAAAAAGATAAAAGAATAATATAGTAAGTTTTTCAAAAGGTTAAAGTATTATCTGACATGATGTTATTTTTTTTAGATATATAAATTTATCTTTTGCAATGTGGTTATGATAATTGACCAGATGTAAAAAAAATAGAAGTTTGACTAAATTTCCAAAGACTTTTAGGAAATTTTAGTCTTGTATAGAACTTAGAGAATTATGAGCAAAGAAAACATTGAAATTTGTAGTTATTTGTAGACTTTTAAGCAAATATTGACTGTCAAAAGTTACTGATTTGGAGTTCCCATGAAATGAAAGATTTATCTATATCTAGTATATTAAGACTGTTAGTGTACATTATGAATAGTTGGATATAATTTCTGGCTGAATATTAACTTAATCTTTAAATCTACAAAAATATGATACTTATCATAAATGACAAGTTCCAAGTTAAAGGACAATAAAGATTAATAGTCCAAATTCCTAAACTGTTTTTAAAATGGTTTGAGTACAGATTTACCTGACCTTGGGTAATTAATCAAAATATAATTTGGGGGGTAATGGGGAAATGGTTGAGATGACTTATTCTTTCAATAAGACACAGCAAGTAGTAAGAAACCTAAAAGCACAGCTTCATGTAGTGAAACAGAAAAAAAATTGTTAAGAGAAAAGGTATAGATTAGAAATTGAAGACAATTAGGTACATGGATGATGTAGTGTTGCTAACTATGCACAAGGAAAGTATTGGCTAAAATTACAAGCTCTATTAAATTAAGCTGCCTTAGAAAAAATTCTGCTAGAATGTTCAACTTCCATAAATTAACAAGTGACTTCTTTGTCTGAAAAGTTATTTGTTAACATTTTCCTAGCTGTCATAAGGACAGACTGATTATGCAGCTTTATTTAAATTTTAATAAAAATGCGAAGATCGTTGAAAATAAACAAACATAATTATGCACTGTGAATAGCTGTATTGAATACTTCAGAAGAACAATACATGAAAATTAATTTCACTGTACTGGGTTCTGTGTACCTAGAGGTCTCAGCATGCAAGGTCACAGATGATCTTAACTCAAGCAGGATTATCGTGTAGCTAAATGAGCAAAGTTGGTAACTCGAACCTCTCTTCCCCTTACTGATAGCATTACCTATCGACTATGAAATGATTTTCATAGTGTGTCCTCCACAAAATGATCAGTTAGTAAATAAAAATGGTTCATCCTAAATAGTAACCATGATTCCAAGTTGATGACTTTTGGACCCCAAATATGGATATGATAAGCAGTCTAAAAATGTTCACATGGTGCAAATACCTTTCATCCTAAACTACTAACAGCATGGATAAAACAAAATATTGTCTAGTTGCCAAAAGAAAGTGTTTTTTGCTTTGCTTTGTTTTACACTTTTGAAATAATGCAAGCTCGTTTTACTTACTTCTGAACTTTGTCATTGGCCGCCTGGGAGGCCTCCACAGCACGCCGCAGCTCTAATTCCATGTTTGCTCGATCTGTCAGAGCTTGCTGCAGTTGGGCAGCCAGTTCCTCATTTTGTTGCTGAGTGATGGAAACAATGTTCTCTCTATTTTTTAAAGCTTCTTCATAGGTAGTAAGGATATGGTTAAACTGATCCTTTAGATTTTCTTCTTGGGACAAAGATTTGTGTAAACTGAGAAAAAAAAATGACAAAAGCATAAATATGTAGACTGACCAGTACTCACGCTAATAAAAATCTCTACTTAGAAATGCCCATTCCTAAAGATCAGTCCAGACATACTTATATAGATACATGAAAATAATTTTTATATCACAACAATAAACTTGATAATTACTTCCTTCTCTGTTTCTAGGCTGAAAGCTACCAAAGCAAATGAATATCTATGCAATCAAAGCATACAAAAAGATGTAAGGTGTTAATTTAATTACATCAGTGTAAATATTACATTCAATTTTCTCTAAAAGGAAAAAACAGAATTGGAAAATAAGGTATCCCTAGGTAAATAAAAGAATATAATAAGTGGACTGCAAGAAATGAAAAGTAAGAGAATGGACATCAGGTTAAGAGATCCAGGGTCTATTCAGCTGAGTACTTAATGAGGTTTGTACAAATACTGGTCAGCGCGGTATACAAAACATTTCCTAGTTGTCACAGTAGAGATTCAAATGTAGTCAGACTGCACAGAAATAATATGTATTCATATATATCTTCTTTTTGTTAATGAAGTTTATGCCAAATATAACCAATCATTAAGTCAAACAGAGAAAAAGCATATAAATTAAGACTAAACGAATGCAGAAGAAAATGCAGCAAATAGAATCCTAAAATGCTAAAGGTCAAATCTTTGATATGTCATTACACCTACCACCTGAGGTTATTTTGAAATGGCACCAAGCACCTCACTCAATTAAATAAAGACATTTTGAAAATATAAATATTTAATAAGGGAAATTTAAAATCCACACAGGAGATGTTCTTTTTTTATTAAATAAAATCATTTCAGTATATGCATACAAAAGAAATGTCGATGAGAGACTGGAAGTAAAACAACCTAAATATATAATACAGATTGACAATATGGAGTAATATAATTCTTGAAGCTGCAAAAAGCTAGTCAGGGAATTTTTAGCCCTGGATGGATACCTAGGCTGATACTTTATTTAAAACTGTTCAAACTTAAGTAATTATAAATTTCTTCTTTTTATTTAAGTAACCTTAAGCTCTCCAGTGTGCTTACTTTGAGGAAAGTGTCAGAAATAAGATGGATGTGAAACGGGGACAGCTAAGTTCCAGAAGAAAGAATTTCAAGATTCAAATTCGTGCCTGAAGAGACTGCTACTAAACTGTGGCCAAAGGCTTCCTACCCATGAGAGAAGTATGGCGTGTGTGCTATGCTTGTAGTCTGTAAAAATGTTTACCAGTGCTTCTTTCATGGTAGTGCTTTTTGTGTTCTATTTTTAAAACCTTAGCTACCCTATTTCTTTATATGTTAATTTTACAAACATGCTGTTACTTAAAATTCACAGTGGCCCAGCTTAGTTTGGGAATTCTCCATGTGCCCATGGTATCTAAACAACTTCAATATACAATAATCAATGAAATATTAAACCAAATACATCTAATTTTAAAGCCATACTGTTATTAAGATAATGATATTCTGACTTAATCCTCCAATTATTTATCACTTCCAAGTCTTCTATCATTTCATCTTTGTATTTTAGTAAATTTTCATCCAGTTGTGATTTTGCTCTCTGTGACTGGAACCCTTCATGTGAATCTTCATTTCCAATGCATTGGGAAACTTTAAATTCCCTTCAAGACTTTCTCAAACAGAAGCCGTTGCTAGGGTAATTTTTAAAAAGGTAAATTAGATAATGTCATCGAAAATCCTGCAGTAGCATTTCACTGCACTCAGAAATAACAGATTACATATTTTAATTCACTAAACCTCACAACTTATCAGAGAGGCTTTATCAATATTACTTTTTCTTACTGATGAAAAATCAAAACAGAGAGCTGTAAATAATTTAATCAGTTCTCAGACTTGGCAGCCAGAATTGAACATACATACTCTCTCTCTCTCTGGGTGAGGCTAAGATACTGCCCACTTCCCTAGGCTCTAAGCCCCTCTACTATTACCTCTTACTGCCTCACTTTGTAGTCAGAATTTCAGTTTCTTAAACACATCAGGCTTTTCCTTGTTGAGGCACCTGTTTGGAATGCCTTTCCCTCCACCCTCTGGCTGACCTGCTACCACTCAACCATTAGATTTTAGCAGACACTGCTTTCTCAGATAAGCCTTTTTAGACTCTTCAAACTAAATTTTGATGATCACTCTTGTTACTGTCTCATTGATCTGATTCTTTCCCTCTTAGAAATTTCAATAATTTGCATTTTTTAGCTTCATCTTGTGATTTACTTCACAATTCCAACATATTAATAGTCCATTTATGTAGGGCAATTTTATTTTAAGGGAAAAGCACATTCCTTAAGAACATCAGTAAATCACAAGGTTTAGAATTGTAAGGAGAGTGCCTTACAGGGATAATGAAATAGAGGAGTTATATTCTCAGTACACTTAAATCCATAACCACTGAAATACTTTTTTTTTTAATTTTAGTGCTACTTTTTCCTTCAGAATGTTCTTCCCTAAATTTATAAAAGAACTACATTACTAGGTTTCTTCATATAGTAATGTCTTTTCCCAAGTTACTGATTTTCAAATGCATTTTTCAGCATGGCAGCAGCATTGCAATTTAATGACAATATGAAGAGAAATATTTTGTCAGAGTAAGAATAAATGCTAAAACAACAACAGGAGAGGCAGGAAATCAACTGCAGAATTCCCAAAACATGTAAACAATATCATGGTTCACCAGTGCTGACATAGAATGGCAATTATCTCTATTATAAGGTAATGAGAGGTAACACCATAAATACAGCTTCAATTCATTTTTCCATTTATAGAAATGTGTAATTCTGAATAAATTAAAAATTCCCAATTTAGTCTAGACAATGAAACTTGGATTTTTTCACAGCAATATTTCATACTATTTTGATTCTAATGTACATCAAATGAGATCACACGTGCTCTCCTCATCTAATAGCAGGGCAGGGTAGAAAACACCCATAAGGAGCAGACAATCCATTTCTTCTTGGCAATGGCTCAGTCTTGTTTGGTTCCCATCCATGCGTCTGTGATCCTGACTAATTTCCTGGTTCCTGACTCTGTACTGCCTCAGCTTAAAATACCTTGGAATCATCAGATTTATGACCCAACTTATATGTTTTGCTTGCATACATTTATGTTCTCAGCATGTCTGCTTACCTATTTGTTGAAGTCTCTCAACTGTATTGTCACACATGGATTCAGCTTATTTCTGCAGCCAGTACTTTTCCATTATACCAACTTTTGATGCTATGTTCCCTGGTTTCCTTTCTTATCTCCACAATCAGGTTTTATTTAAATCCCTCCATGAGATTACTTTAATTCACCAGCCCACAGTGTGCGTTTACTCATATACTTAATGCTTCATTATTTACAGCAATGACTCAACCAATCATATGTCATATATATGCTAGTTTTGTTTTGTTAGTTTAAAACTTTAATTTCAATTTTCTATTTTTTGAGACCACATTGGCTTATAATACTGTATGTAATTTAAAGGTATAGGGTCACGACTCTTCATATGCTACCACAGAGCACCCACTACCAAGACATCCACCGTCCATTTTGCCTCCCCTTGCCCACCTTTTGCTCTCCACTCTCTCTGCCTTCTTCCCACACACTAGTAGACCCATTTTTAATATTTTGGGAAACTTCCATATTGTTTTCCATGGTTGCTGGACCAGTCCATATTCCTATTAACAATGTAAGATGGTTCCTCTTTCTCCACATCTTTACCTATACTTGTTTCTGGTCTATTTTTTAAAAAGTACTTTTTAAAGATTTATTTACTTATGCATATAAGAACTGAGGTACAGGCCAGAGGTTCAGGGGATGAAAGGATTCACCAGAGACCGAGTGAGGTGCAGAATAGGCAGATGGACTAAGTAAACTGCTGGGGGGATTGGCGGAAGGAACAGGAGAGGTCTGCCATGCATGTGGGTCACCTTCCTAGCCGGGGATCCAGTTGTGCTGCAGTGGCTGCGGAGAGCTTTATAGTGATGTGCTTTAGCTCAATCTGCCACCAGGGAGATTCTTTTCTTCTTCTTCTTCTTCTTCTTTTTTTTTATAATATAATAGCTTATTTTTACACCATTTTGTGCATTTTTCCATCTCAGTTGTAATCCCCATGGGCTTCCCATCACCAACTCACCTATGTGCCATCACCACAGTCCAGTGCATTTCCCTCCTCCCACTGTTTTTGATCCCCTTCCCCACTCCACATCCATAAAATGTCTCTGGTTTATAGCTGTTCATTATCATTATAATTTTCTCGCCTGGTCCATTATACTCCTGCTATGAGTGAAACCATCCAGTATTTTTCCTTTCCTTTCTGGCTTATTTCACTAAGCATGATCTTTTCCAGCTCCATTCATGTTGCTGCAAAAGACATGTTATTGATTTTTTTGGGGGGCTGCTGAATAATATTCCATTGTGTATATGTACCACATCTTTTTAATCCAGTCATCCACATTTGGGCATTTGGGCGGTTTCCATGTCTTTCCAATTGTGAATAAAGCAGCAATAAACATGGGGGTACAGGTATACTTTTGAATCAGTGTTTTTGTGTCTTTTGGTTAAATATCTAGGAGTGGGATTCCTGGGTCATATGGAAGCTCCATCTTTAGCAGTTTGAGGAACCTCTAGTTTTCCATAGTGGTTGTACTCATTTGCATTTTCACCAGCAGTGCAGGAGAGTTCCTTTTCCTCCACACTGTCACCAACATTTGTTGTTGATAGTTGTTTGAAGATGTGCCATTCTCACTGGGGTGCAGTGGTATCTCATTGTGGTTTTAATTTGCAGCTCCCTTATTACAAGTGATATTGAATATTTTTTCATATGCTTGTTGGCCCATCTGCATTTCCTCTTTGGAGAAGTGTCTTTTTAGCTCTTCTGCCCATTTTTTGATAAGGCTGTTTATTTTATTTTTGTTGAGTTTCATCAGTTCTTTGTATATCTGTGTGATCAATCCTTTATTGCTAGTTTTGTGTGAGAATTTTTTTC